TGTATGTCAATGCTCCCGTGAGTTCAAACATGATTACAACTACACAAACTGAAAAAGAAGAAAGATTGAATCGCATTTACAATTTCACACGGGATTATCAAACTATCTAATCTAGGGTTACCTGTTAGATGCATTACGCCACTATTGCAGAATGCAATTAGAATTTCCAAAACTCGAAAGTAAACCTTCAATAAGCTTTAAAAAAAAACAAAAAATACCTTAAAGCAGCTGCAGCACCCAAGAATGCATACATCCCAGGTGTGACACACTAAAAAAGATTGAATTTATAAACACCAATCTGTTAAGAAAATTCCGATGTAATTAACTTACAGGAACATCAGGTTTGCAACTTGCAAACATTGGAAAAGTAGGATACGATCTGAAAAAAGTGAATCGATGATGGATAGACGTTTGTGACATGCAATTTTATATTTTGAACGAACTAGGAAAGAGGAAAAGAAAAAGAAAAAGAAAAGAAAAGAAACCTACGCATGAAGAGCCTTCACGCAAAGACCCAAGAATCTTCCGAACGTAGCCCCAACAGCCATTGAAGGAACAAAGATTCCAGCGGGAACCTGAACATCACAAGGCGGGAATGGGCATTCCATTGAACGTAATAATAACGGGCAATCAACTGAATATTAAGAAGAACAAGAAAGAAACCTTTGCACCGTAAGATATTATAACGAAGCCGGTCCTAAGGATGGTCGCAGTAAATAGCAGAAAAACCATTCTCACAATTCCCGAATTCTCGGAAATCTCGGAATTCCTAAAAATCAACGAAAATGAGAAAAAGATTTAACACATAAATTTGGAAATGCAGACCGCCACTTACTTGCATAGCCCCTCATAATCATAAGATTTTTTTCCCTCACATTCTTGAAAGAGTATACCTAAAATCTCGGTCATATCTGTCTTCATAAATATATTAAAGTATCCAACCAATGCTGTAAGAAAAGCGAGAACCGCAACTTCGGTCACCCAATGATCTTTCAAGTACTTCTTCCGATAAGATTGTACTTTAAGGTTGAGTTTAATTACGAGTGCGCCATACAATCCCTGATAAATTCGTGCGTTTACATGCATGCAATAAATACACTTGCAATAAAGACTTCGTATAACACGAGAAATTGTTCACTTACACCAAAAACGCCCAATAACGCGAAAAATAAAATTTCGAAAAAGTGCCACTCCCTGTCGTAAGTAACTTGAAACATTACAAGTTTCCCGGTCCGAAAAGGATTCATTCCCTGTTAAACTGCGCGTCAGTAATGGTCAGGATTCGATGAAAGATCGAGTATGAACACAAATTAAAAAGGAGCAACAACAACACCTGCAACACTACGGTCGCCACCAAGGCACAAAAAAAGCTGCGCAACATCGTTTTCATTGGAAAGTTGTGACTCATTTCCTGTGTTTGCAAGTTTACATGTAAGGGACCCATTCTTTCAGATGTGATGACGACAATGGCGTTTGAGATTGATCACCTCGAAGGAAAACAGAACTCCTCCTATCGGAGAGCCAAACGCAACGGCCACACCTGCCGCGCATGAGGCGGAAAGGATTTCACGCATTTTTGCTATTCAACAAGAATCAAACGTGAATGACCTGATGCATTGGCTAGCTGATCAATGAAAAAATGTGTGAGGTGTGAACCTTTGTTTATCTTATGTTTCCCGAATATTCTTGAAATCACATTTCCAACACATGCAGCCGTATGCACCGAGGGTCCTTCTTTTCCAATACTCAGTCCCGATGCAATCGCCAAGGGCTAGAATTGAAATAATTTACTTAGATCGT